TGGGAAGTGGAACATTTATTCCGCAGATGTGAGTAGCATCAGAATCCACTGTTCATCCACAGTGTTTTCAAAAGGTTGTTAGCACGTGAGTCAGTACTTTTGTTGTAAACATGATAAAAAAAAACAACAAAGTCCCTCGAACTTTGACCCTACAGGGTGTTTTCCCCCCTCCAGGTGATCTCCACAAAGCATTTCAGTGCTTTTCAGCTTGTGTTTGTTTTAGCTTTAGCTTTAGCTCTCATCAGGAGTGTTTCTATGAGACTGACGCAGCATTTTCAATGATAACAAATTCTTAAAAACCAAGTCTATAATACTCAGAACCATATTTAGGTCCTAGACTGCAAAAATAATGGAGCACTGAGCATGTAGGACCTTTATATAAAAGGTGCACACAAGCACCTTAGTGTCATCCACTGGGGTTTTTGACTATGTAAATGTGTAACTGTTTGCTAACACGTTCAATATATCAGCTTTGAAGTCACCTAAAACTTCTCTGTTGTCACTCTCTCTGCCTCAATAGATTTATTACATCAGAGGCTGTCATTAAAGCGTAAACCATCTGATTTTCTATTCTAATCAAAGGTTAAAGTCTTTGCTCTGGGTAATGCCATGTCATGGGAGTGGTGTAGTTGTGAAACACTTCCTAACAGATTGTGAACAAGTGAACAAACATGGAAAAAATAGCTGCAGCAGGCCAGAGTTTTACTGAAGACATCCACACTGACAGCGTGCCTCAGCGAGAAAAGCTGATCTGAGCTACAAATGGTCACTGAACCTCTATTTCACTGACCATTTTGGAGGTCACTGCATTGCTTCTGCTGCAATCACAACTATATTTTTCATATTTTTTTTATCCTCTCTGTATTCTGTTGTTTAAGCTGCTGGACTTACAGCTCATGATTAAAGTTTTCATCTTATCTATTATGGCTGTAAATCGAGGCTGCCACAGTCTGTGCATACAGCGCTGGTATCTCTGAGGAGAAATTAGCAGCTGAAGTAAACGGCTACATGTACCGGCTGTGCTCAGCTGAACGTGTGAACTGAGCATGCTCATACTGGACTGTTGAGTTTAAAAAATAAATGAGTAAAGTTTGGAGTTAAAGTCTGTTCGGGTAACTCTACTGGAAAGAACGTCAAACTTTCAAACGGCCTCAGTGGTTTTCAGCCAAGCTAATTTGACAGTCGCTATCTTGGGATATTTATTAAATATTATAAATGAATTTCTCTTACCAATTGTTCATTGCTCTTATGCCGATGCAGGTTTGTTTTCAGGTTAAAAACACAGTCACCTTTCTTGCTTTGCAGACTAGTGGACATAAAGCAGCAGACATCAACAGCACAAAGCTGGAGGAGAAGTTCCTGGCCAATGACAAAGACGTGGTGGAGTTCACTGCTGGCTCCCAGTCGTATTCACTCAGTTTCGAGGGTAAACAAAGAATATAGAAACTCTGTGTTGACTGATTTCTGCATGTTAAAATGTAAAACTGAGTTTCTCATTATTAATTAACTTTAAACTTCCCCCTCAGACATGATACAGACAAATAAACGCTACGGCACCAAAAGGTGTGTGTGCAGACGGCCGCTGTTTGTCTCTGCTGCAGACGTCCTAACAAAGAAAGTCAGGTACGTCATCAAAAAACAGCCCCGCAAGAAAGTTTTAAGACACCTTCACTTTGGTTTACATGAGTCTGATAGACTCGTTAACTCCTTGATTGTTACCAACAGTGTTGGTCAAGTTACTTGAAAAAAGTAATCAGTAACTAATTACTGATTACTTCCCCAAAAAAGTAATCCCGTTACTTTACTGATTACTTATTTTCAAAAGTAATTAATTACTTAGTTACTTAGTTACTTTTTAAAAACA